TAGTTAGTTAGTTAGTTAGTTAGTTAGTTAGTTAGTTAGTTACTAGTTAGTTAGTTAGTTAGTTAGTTAGTTAGTTAGTTAGTTAGTTACACTCCAAAGTTCCCTGTCTTCCATCATCATAGCCAGCTCATGGGTGCTGATTGCCCTGTTGCACTTGAGGGTCTCTACATAAGTCGATTGAGGTCTTCCTCTGGATCGCATTCACTGTGTTGTTGTGATGGTGTAAAGTACTAGAAAACTGCCCTTATCTTCACAATATAGTTTTTAGGTACACTTAAAGAATTGCCAAATCAGAAGAGGAGATTGTACATACCATTGTTGGTGCACTGGTTTTCATTTCATGCGCAAGGTGAACCAGACACAGACTGGCATGATAGGTCACACCTTTGCCCATGAATGACGTTGTTGAACCCAGACGTCCAGCATGAAATGCAGTCACAACCTGTTTTCATAAGATAAATTATGACAAATTTTATGCTGGGCATTATGTAACAAAACCAGTTGAAATTGCATAATATTTAAACAATAGTGGTAAACTAGTGTAAGCTGCATTGGTGTTTCTAAAGATTGAAACAGTCTGTTGTGTAAAAAGATAAATTTAACACTGTAAAAAAGTAGGTGAAACAAAATACTGATGTTTCAGACGTTAATCCTCTGTTGTTGCCGACACGTCAGCATTTTTTTACGTTATTAAATTTATCTTTTTACACAAATATAATTCTGGGAATTCCATTAAAATGGTCAAAAAAAAGCCAGTCTAGAAATAGTACCTGAATCAGAGATGTCAACATATTTGTGCACAGACCCAATGAATCTTGACTCTTAGACTGCAAACTCCATTGGCTACGGCTTGTCACATGACTTAGGCATTCCAGGGCAATCTCCAGTACAGGAAGGTCATAGTAAGAGGGGTTATCRGCAAGGTCAAGGTTTAAAATGACAGAATGAGCTATTTCACCAATCAAAACACGCTCCCCGTCACATCGCCATGGCTGTGTTGAGTGAAGAAGATGACATGTGAGATGTCCACAGAATTGCAAGATTGTCTTCCTCAAGGTCCTATAAGATGTTACAAGTAGTAGTGGTCGTAATATGTCTTTACTATTGCAATACTAGAGTACAAACATTAGTGATAGCACTTAATCTGTGCAACTGTATAAACTGAATAGTTCTATATAGTTGTATTTAGTAATCATGCATGCGGTACGCAAATTAAATTGAATTGATACAAATGAAGCATTCAATACCATCTTGCTTCAGGTCCACTTTTAGTACAAATTAGTACTACTTAGATTTTGTACAGTTGCACGGATTAAATGCATTCACTCTAAATGTGTGCAACACTTTCCACTATTTACTACAAAATAGTGTTAATTAAACAATAGAATAAGTTAGCATACTTTAGCAGTATTTAGTGGCATTTATGTTGCACAGTTTTAGTGTTTGTACTCTATTAAGCTGGGCAATGAATGTGCAAGGGATTGCAATATAATTGCAAAATAATCCAATAGGGAATGCTCAATGACAGCATGTTTTCAACAAAGCATGGTCGGAGTTGTAGTCCTCTCACTTGTTCACATTCATTGAAACATTCCTCGTTAAGCCAATTTTATATTTTCTTTAAAAAAATAGATGAAGAAGTTGCGGTTTCTTCAACAGTTTGCATACTATTGCGATTTTTTATTGMAGCAATGACATTTAATGCATTTGTTACCTTCTTGATTCAATGACATCTTTCGAAGAACCATTCCCAGCATGCACCATGCTACTTCTGAGTAACGACACCAATGGACTATCACTCTGGACAGTAACCCTTGTAATCCAGGCCACAACGGATATAGGAGGTTGAGAAGGACTGGTAAGCATACTAGACAGGATCTGCAATACTTCTATAAGTAGTTCATCATCTTCTGTGCTGTTAGGGAGGACAAGAAGATACCTGTGGGGGGGGGGGGAGGATAATTTGTTAGCAATTAAATGCTTTGAAAGATATATTTTATGGTTTCATATGTTTTGCTTAATACAGGTCAAATTGACAAATAATTATCATCATCATCACCACCATTATCATCATCATCATTATCATCATTGCACAAACTGTCCATCATTGCACATAACATATTTTTGCCCTACAAGTGACCAAAAGTCTAAGCAGAGGTTTATTTGTATTAACCAGTGTGCCAAATAAAAAAAATACATTTTTTACCTTTCTAAAGCCTCTTGCCAATGCAAAGTATATAACTTTTCAACAGCTGTTTTGTTCTCTCTTGATGACTGACTTAAATCACTGACTATGGCAGTGTAGAGCCTATTCATAGCTACCTTGGCAGGGTAATGCCATGTGGCTTTATTGATGCTGGACAGGTTATCTGCAAGCCACCACTTTGTATGGCTGCAGCAAAGAATCTGGTGGTCAACACTGCGCCAGGCAAGATCATTGCAATACCTGTGGACAAATAAACTAAGATAATTAATGGATTATTAATAATTATTAATTTAGGTAAGGTTGTAGTTGGCTCAACTCAGATTGAATTAGAATGAAGTAGAAAACAATACTATATAATACTATAATAACAATGCAATAATATTGTTCTGGTCAGTCAATCAAAATGACATCTTTTGAAAGCAATTGAGATAATGTTTTCGTAGTTTTTACACTGATTCACTGGTAAAGTTTTCTTTATTGTCACAGAAATACTCCAAACTAATCAATAAAGTGTCCATTTACTCTGAAGATGACTTCCACACAGGATATTTAAGCGTGGTGACTATAACACAGGATTTTTCAAGACTTCTCGCATGGGGACATTCATACTAATATCCTTCTATATCACTCATTAATGGGTTCAGAGCACTCATTCTCAATGTTTCCATTGTTCAATGAGCACATTTGTGCCTGCTTTACCAGTACTCATGTTACAGTCAACTCTCTCGTAAGCGACCACCTCGGGATCAGGTAAAAGTGGTCACTTACGAGAGATGGTCGCTTACAAGAACTCTAGTTGAAGTTGATTTTATTGTCCTAATTCTATCTATTGTTTTCTATGGTTTAACTAACATTAATGTATTTGATAATAACTAGTACGCTTTTACAGTTTGTACTCTTAAGTAATCGGAAATGTAATTTGTGTAAGCTTTGTCAGCAAATTAAACACACCCCTTTATTGCGTCAGTCATGGGTGGTCGCTTACAAACAATGAAAAATTATGACTACCATTTCAATCCCAAAGGTGGTCGCGGTCGCCTACTGAGTGGTCGCCTACAAGAGAGCTTTTTTACAGAGTTTATAATATGGGAAACAAAACGGGAAATTTAAAAGGTGGTCCCTTACGGGAGATGGTCGCTTACGAGATTGGTCGTTCAAAGAGAGTTAACTGTATTTGAGAATACAGGGAACCCTAAATACACACACTGAACAGCTTTTGTTGTGTTGTTGCTGTTTTGTCAATCAAGGGAGAATATGAACTATGAACATTTGTAGGAATTTACTCAATTAAATATCATTGCTTACAATTGACTTTTAGTTGGTGGTGAAGCCTCTTCAATTCCTTCAATTCCACACAATTGATCCAGACTCTCATGCCAGGCTAGGTTCCAGGAAAATCGAAGCATTGACAAGGCCGGGTAAGACTTGAGAGGATCTGGGTCTTGAAAGACTGGGTTCTGGTGGTCACTGATTGGCTCATGCACTTTTGGATTGAAGGGAAGATGGTACCTATAGGTAATAAAATTATCAGGAAAATACCACAATTATAATTTTCTTCATGCTATGATTTCGTCACAAATTCCAAGACTTTTCAAGTGCACAAAAATGCAATTTCAAAGATTATTACTGACTCAATGAAAAAGTTTAAAAAAACATAGACTGCAAGAGATTCAAGGAGTATTCGTAGGATTGTAAACATGGCACTTTCATGTTGTGACCATACAGTGACATGACGGTGATGCTTTCTTCAAAATCAGTATATTTTTCTTTGGCATTAAATCCAGGCAACATTCTGTGACCATGCCATTTTGTGTCCATGAAATGATTCAAGCCACAGTCATGCAATATCTAAGCAAGACTGTAATTGTAGCTGAATGTCAAAGCAGCATTGTTTTGACATTTTATCATAAAACAGGGATGCGAATACTCCAGTTTTGAGATCTTATTTGTACAGTCTTAACCTCGAAAGCATGCAATATATTCTTTTATTCGGCAGAGAATTATTGCAATGCAAAAACTCTGTGTACAAAGAAGACAATAAACAATTTATGCTTGATTGAAGCTAACCTTGCACAAAAGAGAATTCGAAACTGGAGTATTACCGKGTATAGATAAACAAGGCAAAGTTATATGATGTTGTCAAACGTTTTTGAACTTATTAGAAAACGTTTTTCAAGAAAACATACCTTTTGATCAGACTCGATGATTTTGTCAAACGTTTTTGAACTAATTAGAAAATGTTTTTCAAGAAAACATACCTTTTGATCAGACTTGAAGGAAGACTGAACACACTTTTTCTACCCCCATCACAAGGCGCAGCTTCATCAAACAACAGTAAAGTAAGAAGACACGCTGCTTCATAATTCACTTGTACGCTGTGACGGCACACTATAGCACACATAACAACCACAGTATACATTGACAATTTCCTTGCCAGGCTACCACGACAAGACCAGCTGTATTCTGCCAATAATCTGAGAATTTTCAGACAAGGGGGTACTATGTCTATACTAGGGGAGGGTGTGGTTGGGGTATGGGTACAGGCACAATTTTCAAGGATTTCTAGCAACATTTCTAATGTGGCCTCATCTGCTTTGAGTTCCAGTAAGACAGGATGCCAGTCTGGATCTGTGAAACAACAGATAGAAAATTGGAGTTGAGGCCAGTTTGAGTGTTGAAGCCAATGAAACTTTAGCCTGATTCTCAGATGTTCTTGGGTCTGACACTAATGCTTACCTCCCCAAACCTGTCTGAAAATCAGGCTAACCAAAAACTTTTAAACTTGTTAAATAACTACATAGTCTTAGTGCGATTTATATATTCACAATGTCCGTCTTATTAGTTGAACTGAAAAAAAGGATTTCTCATTTGTATCTATTGCTATCTATTCACYCAACATGGCTGCTGGTGTTTTGAATTTCATGGGAATGAAGGAAAATGATTGATACCTTGTAAAATAATAGCCAGTTGTTCTGCAGCAGATTTCCTGATATTCCAATCCATGTTCTTGGAGGAATAAATAGACCACAATTTAGTTATTTCAGCCTTCTCCACGCTGGGGTGACTGACAGCTGCATGTGAGTTCATAGTTGATGTTAACTGATCGACGATAAACAAATCACGAAGATTCTCCGATTGTTTACTTTGAAATAGTCTTTGTCCCCAGGACTTTGTCTTGTCTGATGTCAAGTGTCCAACAACGACTGCTAAACCCTGCGTCCTAACATTGGGGTCTTTCAAAAGCATCAGTCTTAACYCCCCTCTAAGCTGATCTAGTGGTTGAAGGAACAGAACTTCACCATCTGCTGTAATGTGACCATTATGAGCTTCGGTAGCTACAATGACCTCTAATATGCTTTGGTCTAGGGTGGGGTGGGTACCAATAAAGCCTTCTAAGTAGGGTAGTGAAGGGACAATTGCATTAAGAAGTTTTTTCCATAGTTGAGTTGTCATGCTCAGGCGGCCCAAGAATAGTGTTTCTAGTAAATCCACCACCAAAGATTGAACCTTAGAAATGAGAAGAAAACAAACATTATTTTCCATGCTGAATCCCACTTTCTGTAAAATTCAAATTCCTCCATAGTCCTTATAACCATTCGAGGGAAACCTTGTAGCACAACTTTTGGATTTTAATAAATGAAGTAAACAAATGAGCAAGATGGCAGCTCTTCAGTCCACCTTGCCAAGGGCTAAATTCTTAGTCAAATATTGGAAAATGCAGATGCTATATTTAATCTTAGAAGCTCTCCACAGAAAAGACACATATTCCACAGCAAGTAGAACATGAAAGTCCTCTTAAAATTATGTTGAGAATTTCCATGTACTAACTAGGCAAATAAAACAAATAATTATAAAAAAGTTTGTCTGTGGAAAAATTGAAACTATGAAACTGTGACGTGTTTTTATGATTTTAACAACTTGTTTTGACGAAGACAGGGAGATTGGAATCCCATGATACATTACAAACCTTACCAATTCAAAATGGCGGACTTGTAATATGGACTACATGCATGAACAACATCCTCACCTCTGTTGCAGAATCATACAACCCAAAGCAACAAATTTCCTTCATGACACTTTTATCCAGCAGAAAAAGGATGCCATTACATACACTAGACATTGGATGCGTAACATGACTGATATGCAACGACTCTCTGACCACGCCCAGGCACTCCTTGTACCCTTTGTGTCTAATGTCCTTGTCGTAGTGGGCAAGCATCCTGAGGGTTATTTGGTGAGCTGTTTGAATGATTGTTGGGGAAGTGTTAGGGGTGCAAGCCTTGCTGCAAAGCCTGATGGATTCTGTAATAAGTCGTGTTGATTTGTGATATGCAAGACCAGACATTGACTCTTCTACTAGAGTTAATTTGGCAGCAGGGTTGGATGAGATCTAAAGATTTAATCAATATGTAAAAGGTGAGAAATAGATTTTGGTAAAATGAAGAAAGTTTATATAAGCAGTTTTTTTTTTAAATGAAGAAAGTTATCGCATACATGATTGTATGCAAATATGCAGCAGCACTGTAAAATCGAGGCCGTAAAATCAAGCCTCACTGTAATACAGCTATATTCTTGTTTAATTGGCCAAAAATTAAAAAAAAATAACAAAATAAAGTCTATAAATGAATACTATGCATCCAATTGCAAGAAATGTTGTCAAATAAAGACAATATTTTGTTGATTAAAACAACAGCACATTTGATTTGTAATTTTAGTGATTAAGGAACTAGTTAAAAGACATACACTTTAAAATTCAACAACTTTTCAAGGACTTTATAAGGACCTGGGCAGAACTTTTACCATTAATATTTACCTCTGAATTAAGGGTCTTCAGGAGTTTACAAGAACTTTGAAATGATTCACATACATCTCTACAATGCATGTATGTCTTGAATGAGTTCTGGTCCAGTATTTCCAGGTATTGTAGCAAGCTACCATGAGTGTTTGGATGTGTCTTTGACCAAATAAAGTCCATGGCAAGAAGCCATATTACTGTGACTGTATCAGTGGGAATAACTGTGCAAGCCTTGTAAATAATTACATAAATTTTACTCCAGTTTCAAGACCTTATTTAAGCAGAGAAAAACAATGGAAAATTGGATTTTAAATAGTGAATCTCTCTCTAAAATATTTGAGCTTCAAATTACCTAGATTTTACATAAATCAAGAATGCATCAATGATTGCAGGACATAGTGATTGATTAGAGCAGATTTCGTATGACTGTGCAAGGGCATGGATCACAGCATGGACATGGCACGGCACAGTCACGGAACCTCTCCTTCCAAATGAAAATAAAGATTTAACAATACATCACCTCTACGACACAGCACGGTCACAGTGCGAAAGTACCACGTTTTTGCACAGTCATACAAAATCCACTCTAGTAAAGCTCAGTTCAATAAGTGTTTTAAAAATATTTTTTCTTACTTGATCAAGAGGGACAAGCACATGAAGAAGCTGAACTAAAAAAGCTCCTAAACCCATGACTGCAGCCCTGTGAGTGGCTAGAGTAGGTGGTGTTTCAGTGGAATGGCCTTGATATCCACTGTGCTGTATATGATGCACTATTACCTCACCAAGGTGTTTGAAACTTGATGAAAGACTTGATGCCTAAATTTATCGTTCAATGAGTGATTAATTGTGTGACTGGATACGTGATTGATTGATGGATTTACTGACTGAATAAGTGATTAATAAGTATACTAAGTGACTGGATAAGTGATCGATCAATTGATTGACTGATTGATTGATTGAATGATTCATTGATTGATGGATTTGATTGATGGATGGATGGATTAATTGATTGATTGATTGATTGATAGATTAATTGATTGATTTGATTGATTGACTAGTAAGCGAGTAATAAATTACTGTCTGGTTATTAGTGATTGATCGACTGATTGCTTGAATGATTGGTTGGTTGGTAATTGACTGACAGGTTAAGTGATTAATTGATTGACTCACTGAATAAGTGTTTGATTGATTGACTGATTGACTGGGATAAGTGATAGATAGATAGATAGATTAATTGATTGATTGATAGACTGCCATACCATAACCACATTAGCTTGAGATCCTTCTATCCAAATCTGATCTGGTGCAACAATCTTTAGCAAATCTCCCACGTGAATGAGTAGTTCTAATGCACTTGTCACGGCTTGCAGGTTACTGCTTAGTGGTCCTCTGAGAAATTCAAGCAAATGCGCAAGCAGTATGACACACATCTCTTCTACTGCAAGCTGGCAGTGCTGTAATGCTTGGATTGTGATGTCATCTTCTTCATCCATTGTACTAATTCCTTGTTCTGACGAGCTTGAAGACAGAGCATCACTGGACATATTTTAATAGAAAAAAAAGAATTTTAAAATCAGGTTTATAGATTCACAGTTCCCTGCGCAATCTTGACAGTCAAGTAACCGTGCATTCGCATCAAAGTAAACAACAGTTCAGGGTGCATTGTTTGATATCTGTGAATAATTGTCTGTAGGTGTAAAAGAAGATCACAGCTTGCTTTATGGTTGCCTTGCTTTGATGCAATGGCATGGCTAACTTTCAAGACAGCTTAGGAAACCATGAAGTAAACTGTTCAATTAAAGCTGAGCTTTCCTATAACACAAGCACACACAGCTTGATATACATTGATCTTCAAATGATAATGTTTTGTGAAGTCACTGTCAACCAACCTTCCGTGACCACCATCACCACTGCCACGTTGCTGTGGGTACTGATCCTCTTGGTTAATCTCACTTGAGATTTCTCTTGATATTACATGCGACTTCCAGCAATCTGAATGATGCATTATGTATTATATATGTATATATTCTATCCCGACCTGATCCCAGTCTGGCCTTGTAGCTCAGCTGGTAGAGTATCGGTAGTACAAATCCGAAGGTTGTACGTCCGAATCCCAGCGAGGTCGGAAATTAATTTTTCTGAATTTATTCCTAAGGGTCTTTCTCCTGGAATTGCCTACTTCTAAGCACTATAACTTTCTTCCATTTCTATATCGCTTTATATTAAGTACTTTATCCTATATAAATAGAGTGAAAACACACTGATGATGGTGATGATGATGATGATGATGATGATGATAATGATGATGATGATAATGATGATGATAATGATGATGATGATGATGATAATGATGATGATGGTGATGATAATGATGATGATAATGATTATTATTATTATTATTATTATTATCATCATCATGGAATTGCCTACTTCTAAGCACTATAACTTTCTTCCATTTCTATATCGCTTTATATTAAGTACTTTATCCTATATAAATAGAGTGCAAACACACTGATGATGGTGATGTTGTTGATGATAATTATGATAATGATGTTGTTGATGATAATTATGATAATGATGATGATGATAATGATGATGATAATGATGATGATGATAATGATGGCGATGATGATGATAATGATGATGATGATAATGATAGTGATGATGATGATAATGATGATGATGATATTGATGATGATGATAATGATGATGATGATGATAATGATGATGATGATAATGATGATGATGRCGATGATGATGATAATGATGATGATGATAATGATGATGATGATATTGATGATGATGATAATGATGATGATGATATTGATGATAATGATGATGATGATGATAATGATGATGATAATGATTATTATTATTATTATTATTATTATCATCATCATACCACTGGTCCATGTAAATTTATCAAATACAAGGAATGATCAGCAGCTACATAAATTAGTCTGTACCTCTGTCTGGACAAAATAGAGAAGGGTCTGATGTTGCCATCAGTCTAGCATGTATATGACAACACAGTTCTTTAAGACAGTGTATTGCACAAATTGGTACACATGTACCATCACTGCGGAACTCCAGTAGGTCAAGCAGACTCTGAAATATTCAAACAGTTTGAATGTTTAAGTACTTTATCCTATATAAATAGAGTGCAAACATACTGATGATGAGGAGGAGGAGGAGGATTATGATGATAATTACATGTATGATGATTTTTTGTACATGAGGAAATCACACAAATGTTCTCTAATGTAGGCCTTAAATGTCTTCACCAAACTGCGAGTTTTTTATACTACTAATATAGAACTGACTAATAAAACATCAGTACTTTATCGGGATATAAAGGCCCATCATGTGACCCAATAGTTTGATGCTCATTGGACTAATAGCTCATGAATTATTAATAAATGAGTTCTAGAAATGTGAATGAAGCATTGACACAAATCAAAATACATATAAGTGTGATAAGGTTGAAAATAATGTATGTTACGTGCATTGTGTGACATGCAGTGTGACGTGAGCATTTACGCAATGTGTGTCAGTTGTTTTGTAATAAGGTCAGTTCTGCCTTGGCCAGACTAGATCTGTGAAGTTAATTTGCCTTTTTTTGCTATTTATTTTTACATTGTACATCCAAAATGTCCTGAAACAATTAAGAAATAGTTCACTTGGTCACATAAGCACTTACCGCTATTATTCTTATATTTCTCCTGAATCTAAATCATTCAATACCAGGCGCGTAGCGTTCTTTACGCATATACGCACGTGCGTACTAGTAGCAAGGAAATATTACAATTTTTTGGATTTGATGCCTTTAATATGCTCTCAATGCCCTCAAAACGCATTTCCAAGAGTTATAATTTCAAAATTTCCTGAGGCAGTACCCCCATACCCCCCTTAATACTCCCGCCTCCGGCTGTTGTTATCCCCCCCAATCCAAAATATGTTGCAATCCCTCACATGTGCGTACTAGCCCAAAAATGGCCATGCTACGCGCCTTAATACACACAAAGGAGGTAGCACAATACCTTGAAGACATTTGGTCTTTGAAGAAAGATTTCTGCAGGAAAATCTTTGAATAGGACGTCAGCCAGGAACTCACAGGACTTTGCTACCAAAGTAGGACTGCTATTGTGAAGTCTGGTGTCTGTAACAGTCATGATGTGCCTGTCACTCGACGACAGAGGGAGCCACTGGAAGTATGTCAATGTGCCACTGGTACTGAAGGAATCTAGTAACAAATGACCACTCGGTTAGTGGATGGATGGATGGATGGACAGAGGATAAATGCATGAATAAAAGATTAAAGAAAGGAATTACAGTACTAGTCATTTTGACTTCACTACTTATATGCAACACAACCACACACTAACGCTCGGGCAGGTCGGTCAGCCAGCCCAGGTAGTCTTTATTGTTTTACAGATATTTTTTCCTATCAACAAGCCAGCACAAATACCCAAACAACCTTGTAGAAAAGGAACATGTATCCCCGACCATGCTGTGGTGCACTCTTGAAGTTTTAGAGTTTGAAATTCTAGATTCTATATACTATGCTATAGTGTTATTTTCAACAGTTTGTGTTATAATCGCTAGTGGAGGAGTCTCATGATTATCATCTCTTGATTATTAACGATCGTTACATTGTGCAGTCAATATTGGATATCTTTAGACTGTGAAAACCAAACTTGACTTGTATTGGGTGACTGACCTTAGTCCAGAGGATGTTCCCACACTTATAACCTACTTAATATATACACTCTGTTTTCCCTAAAGACACATGCTACACTTGCACGTGCATACTTGTGCCTGGTTTGTCACAAATTACATTTTCTTTAATATTCTCCTGAAAATGACTTGTAGTCTCCGTCAAGGACTGCTCTTGTCTCAAGTGTTCTGCACACTCCTCCTCTTTTTGAGGAGGGTACAGGAAGCCCAAAACATGAACAGGCTGCAAAAAAGACCACCTACCATGAGATCTTGAAGCATTTTCTAATGATGACGGCGTTGTGCTATGGACGACATTTGCAGGAGTTTCCTCAAAGTATCCCACTGGTTTACCAAGCAATACTGGAGCACTATGACTGGTCAGGATATTTGTGGGGTTTTGTACAGTTGACAACACATTGTATGAGTGAGATTTGAATTTCTCATCAACACAAACTAAAAGAGATAAAACATTTACTAAACCAAGCACATTAAATCCATCACATCTCATTAGGAATCCCAGCCTATAAATTATACACTTTATAACTTTATAACTGCATAAGAACATGTAGAGTACAGTACAAACAAAATGTACAAACTAAATAATGCTAAATAGTGCAAAATAGTGTACATTAAACAATAGAAAACAAATGAATTTGCATAATTCAGTACAATTTACTGCAATTCAAATTTTTTATGGTTTTAGTGTTTGCACTAATTATTTCATTTTTTTCTCTTTAAAGTGCCTGTGACTCCTGACACAATAATTTCTGATTCTCAGTGAGCTGATTCTATATAAAGTAAATAATTCAATGGTGAAATATTCCTGCATTTCAGTGTTGCGTCTTTGAGTTTTGAAGGTTTAATCTTACAATATGCTAATGATGAAGGAAGGCTTCACTACATATACGAACTTTGAAACAGTTGCTTAAAAATGTTTTTATGAACGTCACATGGGAATATTGACTGTTATGAAACTATTTTTAAGTCACTCCTTCAATGTTCGTATATCTAGTGAAGCCTTCTTTGACGTTAGTGACAGTCCATGACATCACCTTGTTTTATGCTGTGTTCATTTTGTGGTTTATACAAACACCAGTCGCTATGCATGCTACCACTTGACTGAGGAATGCTTAAAAGTTGGTGTGTGACATTATCAACGCTTTGATACAACTCAGGGTCAATGTCTTGCCTCAACTGAGAAAAGAACTCTACTGCGCCAACATTTAGTAGTATTTCCGCTGCAGNGTCTCCGTCAAGGACTGCTCTTGTCTCAAGTGTTCTGCACACTCCTCCTCTTTTTGGGGAGGGTACAGGAAGCCCAAAAACATGAACAGGCTGCAAAAGAGACCACCTACCATGAGATCTTGAAGCATTTTCCATTGACGACGGTGTTGTGCTATGGACGACATTTGCAGGAGTTTCCTCAAAGTATCCCACTGGTTTACCAAGCAATACTGGAGCACTACGACTGGTCAGAATATTGGAGGGGTTTTGTACAGTTGACAACACATTGTATGAGTGAGATTTGAATTTCTCATCAACACAAACTAAAAGAGATAAAAATATACCTATTTCAGAAAAGGTTGTCGGATGAAATGGCGAATGTTGATGGTCGAACAGTGATTGCACAACCTAATATGTAGCCATGGGTTTTGCTAGTTGAAAGGCAATAACAATTGATTTGTACTGTAAGATGGTCTGTGGTAAACACTGGCTCCATTTAGTCTCCATTTCTATGCAAGGTGAATCCAATAAGTGAAATTTTCTTTATCAAAACAGTGTAACCATAGTCCCTTTCGATGGTACAATCTTCATTCGACAATCGCAGTTCGCCATTCTCCCCGACAATGTTTTGTAAAATAGCTGTATACTAGTCCAAGCACATTAAATCTATCACATCTCATTAGGAATCCCAGCCTATAAATTATACACTTTATAACTCTATAACAGGAAATCGTTTTTTGACATTCACTGACAAAGGTGCATAAGAACATGTAGAGTACAGACAAACACAAACAAAAAGTACATACTAAATAATGCTAAATAGTGCAAAATAGTGTACATTAAACAATAGAAAACAAATGAATTTGCATAATTCAGTACAATTTACTGCAATTCAAGTTTTTATGGTTTTAGTGTTTGCACTAATTATTTTATTTTTTTTCTCTTTAAAGTGCCTATGACGCCTGACACAATAATTTCTGATTCTCTGTGAGCTGATTCTATATAAAGTAAATAATTGAATGGTGAAATATTCCTGCATTTCAGTGTTGCGTCTTTGAGTTTTGAAGGTTTAATCTTATAATATGCTAATGATGATGGGAGGCTTCACTAGATATACGAACTTTGAAAGAGTCGGACAAAAATGTTTTTATGAACGTCATCTGGGAATATTTTGTTATTCCCTTCATTGCATATGATAAATTTAATGTCCTAAAACTATTTTTAAGTCACTCCTTCATATCAAAGTTTGTATATCTAGTGAAGCCTTCTTTGACGTTAATGACAGTCCATGACATCACCTTGTTTTTTGTTGTGTTCATTTTGTGGTTTATACAAACACCAGTCGCTATGCATGCTACCACTTGACTGAGGGATGCTTAAAAGTTGGTGTGTGACATTATCAACGCTTTGATACAACTCAGGGTCAATGTCTTGCCTCAACTGAGAAAAGAACTCTACTGCACCTATATTTAGTAGTATTTCCGCTGCAGAAATATGCTGCAATAAAATAGCATTATCACATAACATTCAAACAACAATACTTTATTTTACACTTAAGTTAAACGTATTATCTCTCTTGGAGTAGAAAGACTACTTCAGTTGACTCCTATTCGATATGCTGTACTGCAAAGTTCCATTCAAGTCCCACTTTTTTATATTTTCTTACCTTGGCTAACGTCTCTATCAGGCCTAACACATCTTTCTTCATGGGAGCTTGAGGGTAATTAAACCACTCCATCAGTCGTATCAGTAGATCACGTTCCTGCACCAAATCAGCTGTGCAGATTAACTTGTGCTCCAGTTTAAACAGGATGGTCTTGAGTGCACGGACTCGTATTTCTTGCAGCTCATGACCTGCAGGAATAAGAATCAAGATTTCTTACAATCACACATAGCAAAACACATGGGATTGTAAGCTATTAGCTTRACAGAGGCAATTATCATAATAGCCTTCTTCATGGTTCCCTGCGCCATCTTGAAAGGTAGCTTTACCTTTGCATCAAAGAGAGATGACCGTTGAGTGTGCAATGATAGATACCTTCTTTCACACATACAGACAATAATTCACAGGTATCTATTACTGCATGCTCAACGATTGATGTAAAGCTTTGATGTAAAGTTATGGCTAACTTTCAAGATGGCGCTAGGAACCATGTTAAAGTTACAGTTATTATAATAGAATTTATTTGATTGCCATTTTCCAAYCATTTTAGTGTTAGAATGCTAAAAATGAAGAGTTTGCTTTCGCCATCTGTATTGAAAATATTTTATCAGACAGATAGGCTAGATTTTGCAGCCTTGAAATTTACAATAAGCTTACAAAATGCACATAAGCTTACAATGTATCACATAGAGCTGGACAGCTGATCATATGAATGCATGGAACTGGTTTCTCTTGGTTAAAAAAGATAATAACAACTGACTATAACAACGCTTAAACTTAACTTCGAAACCAAGCAARTGGTTTTCCTACCTAATTTTGTAATGAAGGGCTGCAGAGACGTGGCTGGGTCATCGTTGCACTGTTGTACATTTCCTGTCTTTGGTCCCTCCATTTTTCTACATATTATTACATCAAATTGCTTTACAACGTATACCCATGGAATTAAATCCAACTGACAACAATGAAAATTAAATTTAGCTGAGAAATGTGCGCGGAGAATGACATTTTGTTGACAAAATATCGAAAATGGCGCGCTGCAAACTGTATCGTGAGCCCGCAGTACTTTGAAACACACAGGGAACCCGTGAGCAGATTAAGCTGCACATGTTATCCACAAAATCATTCCTGGAAATATCTGGTAAAGGATTTCGTACTATTTAGCTTCTTTATCAAGTTTTGTAAAGAAAATATCTATCAAGGAGTGGAAAATGAATAGATATTACAGATTTTGACCATAACTCAATAGCATTGTGGGTAAAATATGACGTAACCATCACGGTGTCGGCCATTTTGTCCGGCTTTTCATAAATTGCGTAGTTGATACTTTTATATCATAGTTTACGGCCATGTTTTCGGCTAGAGTAAACTCARTTGGATTTTCAAGATATGTATCTGCAACAACTACACATATTGCACAAGGATTAAGAGGCTCGATTGCTGTAATCATTCCCGAATCTGAAAAACTTACCCCATCACCAGTAGCCAAGACCAGTCAGTCTTTGGGCTCTCTTGTTCCTGCTAGTGGAAATGTTATAGCAACCAATAAACTGCTGGGTAAGAGGAGCCGTTTKAATGCTGATGTGTTATGCTATGTGATAGTTKTGGTATTTTTGATTCTACTGTTTACGATTGTTATATGGGAATGATTTTGTTTACAAGAGAGCTTTGTTCTTGTTATTCGTGATCRAAGTCGTTACAATGAACTGAAATATAATATTATTTTTGCTTTTAAATAGTATTCAAGTATTCAACCAATTCACCTTACTTACATATTAATGCTAATAAACAAAAACTATTCTCAAAAAGCTATGAACAAATATAGGTTGATGCTTCATAGCTTCTTATATCTAATATAAATAATAATGTATCTTATCTAAAGAATTTTCATTCATCAGGTAAATCCCAAGTGCGATTCAGCCACACGGACATCAATGTACCAGACTTTGGAGATTACCGTCGACCAAGTGCAAAGGATTCTGGTCTGCCAAGCCAAACAGATATCAGCCGACGAGCRTTTACATACATGGTAGTTGCTGGAATGGGTATTACTGGAGTACATATTGGAAAAAATATGTTGGTAGACTTCCTATCAACAATGAGTGCATCTGCTGATGTGCTGGCCTTGGCTAAAATAGAAGTTGATCTTAATAATATCCCAGAAGGTAAGCATTTTCATATTTCACTGCAATGATTAGATAATTCTGTGAAGTGTATGTATGTATGTACAGAATGTACATTAAAGGCCCAGTTTGCACCATTATGCTTTGCGCGCCTCTGTTATTGTTATGATTTACACCAACATACTTCTAGTATCCAAAATATCACCATAAAACGAAGTAAGATGGTTGAAGACTCTAATATTATTGTTTAAAGTGCTTAGWAAAGTGAGATGGTCAAAGATTCGAAACACACAGTACAATTTATAGACTTTAGGTAAACTGAAAATGGCCGCCCGAGGGCCCCAAAGCATAATGGTGCACACTGGRCCTTTAACAGCTTTACTCCCTTGAATTTACATATTATCAATCGCTGGGAACACTCTAAACTGTTAATATTGATCAAGTTGTTTTTGTTTTGTGAATCTTTTCCAGGAAAGAACATGGTATTCAAGTGGAGAGGCAARCCATTGTTTGTTCGACATCGCACTGCWGAGGAGATYGACGATGTTAGATCAGTYGACGTRAGCACCCTGAGAGACCCAGAAGATGATCTTGTMCGAGTGAAAGACGACAAATGGCTTGTTCTTATTGGTGTTTGTACTCATTTGGGTTGTGTACCCATCGCTAATGCTGGAGAGTTTGGYGGTTATTACTGTCCATGTCATGGATCTCAYTACGATGCTTCAGGMAGAATAAGAAAGGGCCCTGCTCCTTTAAATCTTGAAGTTCCCGAACACAGTTTTGATGGCGATACACTAGTTGTTGGATAAAAGACTCTACAAGCACTATGTACATTAAAGAATTCAGCTAATTGTATGGTGTAAATTCTATACATTTGACGTGGCTTGTGTTTAAAATCAAAAATATTGTATGATTCACACAATTGTTAATGATTTTGTGGAGAAATCTAATATTATGACAAATTGAATCATTTGTTTTGCCATGTGAATGTTTGTTCTAGCTCCATACAAGGTTTTTTTCTAATGAGATATAATTGAATTATCCCACTTTTATCTGGTTATTAAAAGGATTGTGTCAACAGTGAGTTCTTAGTGTTTTTTTTTTTCCATTGATATTTTATTTACTTTGTAAAGAAAACAGCGGCGAATCCAGAATTTTTCCAGAGGGAGGGAATTTACTGATCCAAATATATTTTAAAAACACTAACGATATTTATCCGAGCGTGAACTTTTCAGGATCGAGATTTCCAATTTTGTGTGTGTCGAAAAAAACGCAATAAAAAAATATGTACGATTTTATTTCGAATTTTCTCATTGTCGACTTTGAAGAAATTAGAAAAAAGAAACTTCTTTTAACAATACAATAAGAAATCTAGAGGGGGTATTCCCCCTTTTACCCTCCCCTGAATCCGCCTCTGGAAAAACGTCACTGTATATTCTCCAATAACTTATTGCCTCGCAAATAATTGCACTTGACAACTACACCCTTATACTCGCCCATATACTATTGATAGCACTTGGAAAATCGCGTTAAAAGACGTTTTTGCGTCTTCTTTGTAAAAACCGCACAACTACAAGATCAAGATGCTATAAATTTGTATTAAATTGCAACTGAATTGGAATCACCATTGTTCTTTTATGAATACATTTACTAAATTGCACAAAATAGTACAAAAAAGAGCAGAAAAAAGTGGACCTGAATCAAGACGGTATTGAATGCTTCGTTTGTATCAATTGAATTTAATTTGCGTAGAGTGAACGCACTTAAAGCGTGCAACTGTACAAAATCTAAGTAGTAATAATATGTACTAAAAGTGGACCTGAAGCAAGACAGTATTGAATGCTTCATTTGTATCAATTCAATTCAATTTGCGTATGGCATGCACGATTTACTAAATACAACTAAATAGCACTATTTAGTTTGTACAGTTGCACGGTTTAAAAGTTTAAAAGTTTTTAAAAGTTTTTAAAAGTTTAAAAGTGCGATCACTCTACAACTCCCATCATGCTTCATTAAACAAAATGGCGTCGATGGACGTTGCTATATTGCCAATTGTGGTACTTTCCCTCCCATTTTAACACCTTCAGTAGTGATTATACATGTATCTTTCTAGCACTTCGAGGTGACCAAAAGTAACCACTGGTAATGTAAAGTAATTGTTGTGTACACACAAAAGACCCTTGATTACAGGATGAACAAACAATAACTTCCCACTCTCCCACGTTGGTTTGACTGACTCGGGCGGAAAGCTTGTCTTACACAAAAGTAAAACGAACGATTTGCTTTGTGCTTTGAAACAATGACAAACTTTTAGCGCGTCAAGAAAAAGGATTATAGTCTAATTGAAGCTTTTAGMATACTAACATTTTCACAGTTAAAAACATTTCAAGTTAAAACGGTTGAGGTGGATTTGATTATTCAGATTGTATTGTTGATTCGATTTTAGATTTACCGGCAGGTGGAGTGCTCAATTTTGTCTAGTGCTCGATTCAGAACGTTACAAAGGAGGGTGACTAAAGTCAAGAAAAATGTTAAAAGGATACTTTAGGCCTAAGGAAAATGAAATTTCGTTCAGTTGAACGCTCCTTTTTTAAGAACTTAAAAGTTTTAATATTTCTCTGTACGTAGGAGTCATATTCTAAACACTGCTTCGTCTACGTTTGTATATGTTTTATTTTCCGAGCTTTCTGATCGTTCGATCCGTCATCAGGGACTAGTGATACAAATGAATTAACTAGCGGTTGAAAAAACTAAACACATCACGAAAAAAAGTTCTTTTTCAAAAAAAAAGTTCTTTTTCAAAATAAGTCCCATTCAGATTTGATACTTCCTCTATTTATTAAGATCAAGAGAGAATATTTCTATTCTTACATTTTTATTTTTGAACTCTAAAAAGGGGGTAGCCACCCTAATCCACCCCCCTCGGTTCCACCCTTGTTTTGTATACCCCCTCAATGCCTGATAACGTAACTCCACCCACCATTTCCGAGGATTCCATGTAGGGATACTAAGATTATATTATCGCAACTGACGACAAACACGGGTAATCTCCTGTTCAACACACCACTGTCCTACCCCGATTATAAGGGCCCTCGGGAGAAAGGGAATGGGAGAAACGACGTCGTTTCGTCAACAGCTTCCCTGCTAGCAGAGGTTTACACGGTAAATTCTGTCACGTAAAAGTAAGGCTTACTTTTACGTGACAGAATTTACCGTGTAAGCCTCTGCTAGCAGGGAAGTCAACAGCCAACTCATGGTGTATAAGAGTTCTTGTCATCGAAAGTAAATTTTGAAGCAGTCTTATTTGTCATTATCCATTCTTTGAATTGAAAGTTACTGGCATGTTATTAAACAAGTCAAATATCCCAAATAATACCAATGTAATTCATACATTGTAAAGAGTAAAACACCTGAAAATCAAGGAATATGAGTAAACATGCGGGAATCGCGAGTGGAAAGTCACCGTTTTTCATTATTAAAGACTTAAGTCGGCACTTATATAAAATGAAAAGGTTCGTTTACTGTTATTTGCCTCAAACTATTTCCTTTGATTGGTAGAAATGGTTTCTAATTAATGTCAAAACTTAGATAGCCTATTGCTAGCTTTAATAAAAACGAGACTTTGGGTCTCCACTCTAGCCATGCTGAYAGATTTTTGAATAGGGTATTGGCTATTTTACTAATCAGTTATATTAGTTGAATGCGCGCGCAATAAATTTAATTTCCCTTTCTTTTAACAATATACATGTAAAGCACGGTGTAAATTGTGGAAAAGAAATTACAAGTTTGCAATTATTGAATTCGCTTTTTGTCATTATTGAAAAAAATAATCACTGGGTATAGTTTCATGGGCAATAAGCTTTGGGAAAAGAAACTGACGTTTGGATGAATCTGTCGGCTTGTGACTTTACACATATTGTATAATACAGTAAAGCTTTGCATATCTCGATCTTTTTTTACTCGGCACTTAGACTCAGACACCTTAAGAAAGCCACAAGCTTTAAGTAATTGGTGGTTGCCTTAACGACCGATATCAACCGTATAACCCAAAAGAGTTATTGCACTCAATGCTCAATGGAAGTGGAGTTCAAGTTGCTGTACGGCGCGTAGCTGACGTTAGAACAAGGTCTATAAGGTGTTAGTTAAGGATCTGGTGTTGAATTAGTGGAATAAATATACCTTTTCAAAGATGACTTCTTTTAAYGGTAAGTTAATAGTGTAAAAGGGGAATAAGTATTTTTAGCTGTATATGGCTTTAGGATAAGCTTGTCAAGGCGTATTTCATTCGACTTAATCTAATTTCATGTATACTTTAGGCCTGTTTGATTGTGCTTTTTATGATATTTCTACTTTGGAGCGAAAGGACCTCTAATAAAATACGCAAACAACAACTTACTAGCATTTTGCGTCATTATTAATATTTTATAGAGGTGTTGTTTTTTATATATAATCAACAAATTCAAGKTAAAAGAGACGTTTCAATAGCAAATATGGGGTTTAAAACTTCATAACCGTAATTATGAGACCTTTCTTTATTGCGTATAAAAACCATGGAGATTGTACAGTGTTAAATCTATGGTTTYAGCTTGCCTTTTTCAGTTGGAGGAAATTAAAACTTGTTAATATTTAATTTAAAAGAAAAAAATGTAATCTAACTCCGTCTTGTGCATGTCTGCGACGAATATTTWAACTTTTTTTTATTACGGCAGATGATATCGTAAATAGATCGATATCTTGAGCACTCCTRACTCCACTGCAGATGGAGGTTGGAAGTWTTAAAGTAAAACTATTTATAATACAATCCCACAGCATGCAAAAATCAAAATCCTTCTTGTACACAATAACATGAAGCACAATGTATTTTGATTGAAAAGGAATTAACAGAATTTTCATTTCCTTGTTTCCCTTGTGTTTTTCCTATGTTATCTAAAATTGTTTACATTATTTTTGTTTTCTGAAGGGCGGGAGATTTTAATCACGACTGGCGTCTCTCTTTCTCGAGACCAATAATAGATACCACAGTCACTTATAAAAGTCACTAAAAGTCATTTTACTATTTAGCGAATATTGCTTTTGCAGTGGTGAAGCTGTCCAAGCAATTGTAATATCTAATACTTATTAAGRGCAATAACGCGCCACACATAGCAGCTTGGAAAGTCTATTTTTAACGAGAGAAATTCAATGATTTTCAAATGACGGTACAAGTACCCTGGAGTCCTGATAGCGAATCATTCGTTTACAAAGACAATACCTTAGTCTCGAGTGCTCGCAATCAGTTATAACCCCAAGGGTGGTTCTAGCGGYTTTTTTGAATCAAGGAAAGACAATCAAAAAGTTCCTGATATAGTTATTATCCCACCTCTTAATCAAAAAAATATACCATCAATTTTACGACACTATCTGGGGTTTAAAAAAATAGGTTCTATATTTGCTGTGAGGCATTACTGCGGTGTTCCATAAGGGACTCTCAGGATTTTATAACAGGCCAGAATTTATTTTTTTTTTAAGAGTAACTTCTATTTAAACGGCACCCAGCTTTTTTCCGACTCAAAAAATCTTTTTTTTTTATTTCTTTTTAAACGCATCAAACGCCCACCGTTTTTTAAACGCCCAACTTTTTTTTAGACATCCAACTTTTTTATCAAACACCCAACTTTTTTTCAAACGCACACCATTTGGCAAAGGCCTAACTTTTTTAAAGCCAAGATGCGATTAATCATAGTAGCTGCTGACAAACTGCATGCTGGCTCAAGTGTTGAGGAAGTTATGGACTAACAAGACATGAGCATCAGCATATCAAACTTTTCGGCGCTTGAAAAAAAAGTTGGGCATTTGAAAGAAGAGTTGGACGTTTAAAAAATAAAGTTGTGCGTTTAAAAAAAGTTGATGTCATTATGTCAATGACGTAACTGTCTAAAAATAGTTTATACGTCATCACTGAACGTGYACACATTCAGTGGTAATGTTTGTCAGGCAGTCTAGTTGGTTATGTAACAGTTTTCTATTGGCTTGCCGTTACATTTTCTGGAATTTTTGCTTACAATTTGATTCATATTTGTAAAAATTTTAAAATCAATTCATCGATCTATAACAATCAATTTGCAACCAACTAATATCAACTTAGCCACTACAGCTAACCAACTCACTAACTAACCAACAAACCGATCATCCATCCACAACTATCCAATCAACCAACCAAMCAAACAAACAACCAATTGACCAACAATAACCAACCRACTAACGTAATATAATCAGCCAACCAACCAAACATACAACCAACCAATCAACCAACCAACCAACCAATTAACCAACCAATCAACCAACCAACCAATTAAACAACCAAGCAACCAAGCAACCAAGCAACCAACCAAAAAGCAAACAAGAAAATCAACCAACACACCAACCAATGAATCCAATAACCGAACCGCCGTCTAAAGTCTACCTAATAAACAAACAAACAAAAAGCAACCAACAGACCAAACTACCTAACAAATCAATCAACCAACCGATCAWATAAACAAGATTTTTAAGCCAAGAGATMATTATCTCGCGAAAAGAGGTGTTTTGGGTTGAGCTTTACAGTGTCAAAGTAAAGTAAAACTGTTAACATTTAACAATGTGGCAAATAACGCGTAAATGATGAACACTTAACACTTAAACTAGAGACCAAAACGTGTCGAAAGTCTACAATTTCATTTGCTTAGGATTTACTGCACAAGCTGCGCATAAAAGCTCATTTTTCTTGGTGCTTTGAATGTGTAATTACACACACAGAACAATAAGCTAAGTTATTAATGTTTGAAGTGGTTTGTTTTAGACTTTTGTGCTTGRTTCTGCCGCTAGACTTTGGAAGATATGATAAACACAAGACAGAAACAGCTGCGCATGCATAATCCTTTACAACATAAAGAACGGAATGCATATTGCACTTTCTTGCTTGACATGGCGAATATTTCTTGTCAGTAATCGTTTGATTATGCGAGCGCTTTTCTTTGTCCTTTTACGAAATCTTTTCCCAATGAAATGCAAATGCTCCATTTTTGAATATGACAACGTGAGATATTCTCCAATTATTGACTAATAGAGCAAGGCCGTACGAAGCCAAGTGGTATAGCTTATACAACTGATTAGGCGATGTGCTATAAAGCCAAAACAGCAATACAACGAAGAATAAATATTCAGATATTGCATATATTAGGAATATTGATGAAACCCCTTGTGGACGCGGYATTTTTCGTTTAAATTAGTGAAGTTTATTCAGCTTGCGTGCGGGACACACCACAATATCACAGATATAGCATCCATAAATAGAAAAAAAGCAACATTTCATTAAGAAAGTAGAAAATACTTTGAGCTCTCGTTCGTGGAAAGCTTGCTTGGTGAGTGCGCGCCACGGTTTTGGGTCGTACTTGGGGATTAGTTTCACGACTACCCGTTCACGGAGTGTGTTTCAGGACAAACCGTCTTGATTTACAACTGCTGTTACAACGTTGTTACAGCGTAAAACTTGATTATAGAAACAGAACTTGATCTTCAGGCACTGGATTCATGCATCCATGACCTATTGCGAAGATTTCGCTCCACTAGCATAAACGCGCACTCCCCAAGGCATAGTAGGGTGTTGTGCTTACAGAATTAGCATGCATTACATAAGCGATGAGTTGTACGTAATAAAGTCAACTGGTGTTAGCCAATAGGAACTGACGTGTTGCTCGATAAAAGCAAACCCGACTTGTCTAAGTTGAAAATCGACTTGATAATTACTAACTGCACTGGACAGCGGATCAAGGTAATAATACTAAGAGAAAGGAACAATTTCATTGAAATTACTATCTGAACAAAGTGCTTTATTTTGTAACTAAGGAAACGATGATTTGTAAGTGATACTTTGCCAACCGCACAACATATTAATTTTAGTTTTTTTTGGAACAAAAAAAGTTCAGACTTTCTCGGTGACAGGTGCGGTGTGTATAGTGTTTAGAAAGAGTTCAAGTAAATGAAGAAGAGCGGTTGGTATAGGTAAAGCGCTGTAGTGCGCAGCGAATTCGCCTTTTGAAAATGAATGGTAAGATGTCTCCGGTTTGAGTACCATGTCATCATCGGAAGCGGAAAGAATCTTAACTCTAGTGAAAGAAAATTGCTACTATACATACTGTAGTGGATGTTTGAAACATTATCTAGACCTGACAAAATCTTTCTACTTTCTAAGTCAATATACAACTAAAACTGCAAGAAAATAAGAGCTGTMGTTATTGTTGCATGTACATATAAAAACGAGTGGAGTTTCCTATTATACATTTTATATGTTCATTGCGGGTCGTTTTTCATTCTGTTTGGTAAAGCAATCAATATTATCTTGACAACTCTAAAAAAAGAACAACTCACTAGAATATTGTCCAAGTGTTTTTTTTCCGAAGAAGGGTTTCTTTATATTCCGTGGATAACTGGGCCTATTTTCACAACACTAACCAACTGTTGTGCTCTTCAATCGGCAGGAATTGCAACCCATGGAGAGCTAAATTACACTTTGCTTACAGAAAAACAGAAAACAAAACAATGTCATCAAAGCCATCGTTATCATCAGTTGTAAACTGTGTGCGAAAGATACGTAAAATGCGAGCCGCAAGAACTGAACTAAATCTACCAAGGGAAGACTTAGCGCGAATCCTACGACCTTTGTATACTGTGGCGTCATTTATTGGAAACAGAAGCAAGACAAGACCGTGGCTGGGAAACTTTGGTCTCATCTTATGGGTTTCTAACATTGTAATTCATTTTTCTTTGGACTTCTACGAAGCTTCTCATAAATACGGCTGGGCTTGGGCCACTGCAATAGCAGTCTTTTTCATCTCATTCGTTTCGGGGACATTGACACTTATACGAGAGACAATTCCATGGATTGAGGATGCATTAGAAATACTTTACGTGGATGGGAACTTCAGTGAAACACTAGAGAAAGCTTATAAAGTCACAAAGGTGAGTTTAAGTTATTCAAATGGATACAACACAATATTGAACACTTTTGCTGTAGTTTAAGTGATCTTATTACAAACAGTTCCTTTTTTCATTGTTATTGCTATGTTTGAAAGCTTTATATTGGCGTGATAACTCTCCTAGATACAACATCCTATGATGTTTATGGGAAMAAACAGTTTGAAACTCGGTAAATGGAGTTTTTCTATAACATTCTCAGTTCTTTTTCGCATCACCATTACAAATGAATGGGTTTTTTTTTATAAATATGCTTCGTTTGCGGAACGTGTCGTGCAWGGCTCTCAATACATAACCTGAATTCAGGTGATTGATTATTTTGACATGAAAGATACAGTAGCCTCATTCATTTGAAGAATATATRTTTTAACCAGAAAAACTTAAGTGTTTTCTCGACAATTATATTATTTCTGCAGCGACCAGAGAATACGGATATTTGAAATTAAGTGCAYAAAAAAGTCTTTCAAAAAGTAATTTAAAAAATTAGCGCAACAACACTTGYACTCGTTTTTGAAATATTACTCCAAATATTTATTCCTTCTTTTCCATATCACATTTCATTTCTACTCAATTGAGTTCATTTCGTGATTAAACCTGAAACATGTCATGTAAATATAGTACTTTAAGAGTAAAAGTTTGTTTGCTGTTTCTTTCATTTTTTCATGAATATTTCATGTTATTTCTTCGTTTTATTGGTCTTTTTAATTTCATTTTTAGCCATTTATTTGATTTTCCTGTCTTTCATTAATCCAAAGACCTTGTATATTTACGAAAGAGATTTTAAAAGACACGGCAACGCACTCTRAGACTTCTTTGTTTTCAAAGCCGACGACTTAGGCCATTATAACTTTCAGTGAGAAGGCCTAACAGCTCTTATAATTAAAGAAATCCCTCTCATACTTATTTGTCAATAAAACCCTTTTATTACAAAACTCTAAATATAACGGAAACGCGCAACAAAATAGCGCACTTTGGAGAAATACTGGAATAGGATTGTTTAGATAACGAAGCGAGGAATTCCCCAACTAAAGGGGAAAAAACCTTTGTTATGCAGTGCAAACTTGTCCATAATTCGTAAAAAAAAATCATGTTCGCAAACTTTGGAATACTAGCATTTTAAATACTGTTTTTCATTCGGCAACGTAATTAACACTTTCAAGCCTGTTCACTAATAATATTCAGAGATTTTAAAAAGAAATTTAATTATACAATGTTCAAAGCTATCTTAAACATTAAAAAATAATGAAGGCAAGTTTGATCTTTTGGGAAAGTTTGTTTTTAAATTCAGTGGAAGCAAAATTATCATTTCATGTCACCAAAAAAGGCTTAATTATTCGCTTGATTTTGAAAACACCTGGCGTGGAATTTCAAGYAATATCAAGMGTGAACAAGACAGCGAACGCTGTGCCTCTTAAATAAAGATATTTATACTGTAAAATGCGCAACGAAAATAGCTAGTCCCTGCTGTTGCAAACATTCATAWGTAATTCCTGATATAAAGCGCTGATTATATTGAATAAAAACGTTCACCATTTKAATTTCCCCCGGCCACATGGAAGCTCACTTGCAATATAACGGCCCTAGTCAATAATCTCAAATATCTTATCTGTGTGGAGTTCAAATAGACATCGAAACGTCGTATTTATCGAGCGGAAAAATTACTAACTACGTGRTCAAGGTAAAACAGAAACAGATGCTTAGCTCCCAGGATAAGCTGCCTAACGCAGCTATGGCGATCAAAAGATATATCATCTAGTCGAGGCATGACGTTGTCAATGACCTCTCTTGACTGCCTCTTAAAATAAGAACCACTTYGAWGTARAAGGGTTTTTCGACAATATATCGTTTGYCCATGTTTGTAAGTCGTTGTTGGGTTTTTCTCAAGAGGGATCTCCTTGGCTTGGKCCATACCTGCTACATTTTAGACCCCTTGGGAGTACCGTTATTGTCCTCGATTTTATCAATTAATATATGAATATGAAAAATGAAAAAAAAGTATCGATAACATTTTCTTAAACCAAGGAGGCCCAAGAGTGTTGTTACTACAGTAGCCCTAAATTTAAAAGTATTCTTCAAATTTTAACTTATACCGTATTTAGCTCTAGTATGATTTATTACCGATAAAATGCTCAATCTCGTTAAACTACACATAAAGGAAATAGTCCGTTATACTTTATTTACATTTGAAAGAATCGGTTTAAAAGCCTTTTTTATTTGTTTTTTTTGGTGTCTAGTTTGAATAGCGAGCCAATTTTCCCTTGTTCACTGAGAAATGACATATATGAAATGGTAAATATACGACGACAGTTGAAGCGGCAGATYCAGGACAGTACAAAGTGCAAGGCAAACTAAAAAAAAAGATTTACATGATTTAGGGCTGCGGAAAATGAGATTTCCAGTGTCAGATGAGCGCTGCTTGAGCTTGAGTTTTTTTTGCAGGATTAGCCCCATTCCGATGTACATTTTAGTATTTTATTTCGCGAATTAAACMTAATCATCATTTCTAATTCTTTTTATTTTTGAGCCCTAGAAAAGGAGGTTGTCTAGCCCCCCTAATCACCGCCCCSTGGATCCGCCCTTGAYTTTYCCTGACAKTAGCCTGAGGCAAAATATAGATTAACAACATTACAGCTTAATGAACATAAATGGTTTAGAAAGCGTTTTTATAATGTTCAATGCCACAGAAAGCGAATATAATCATCTGATTTTCTCTAGTTTTGAAAGAGGAAAAAGTGAAAAAGGAATTCTATATTTTCTTGATTTGAGAGTGTTGAGAAGAGGAGTTCCTAATGAACATTTTAAAGTGTACTTCAAAATATAGCAACATACACCTGCTGATGCGATAAAATAAAGGTTAATGTCTTATCATTCTAGTTTTATGATCTGAAGTACTTCGCGGAAGCATTCGAGGCTTGTTAAGTCCCTTCACTGATTGTCAAACAAAACGGCGTATTTGGCAATTACTTCTTTTGTCACTAGAAGCCTTATCTTTGTTTAACATCATCATTTCCAATGAAGAAGTCGCTTTTCTCACGATATTTTAGCATATATTTTATTTGTATGCTTTACTAAAAATGAACACAAAATTTGAAGGATATCTTACAGCGAAAAAATCAATGTACTCAAAGTAAAAACAGCAGTTGATGTCTAGCTTTAGAGATAGTTTGGGATACAAAAAATACCACCTTTTCTGCTTTTACTGAGAAATAGACATTTATATTGTGACATAATAATTATACAAGTTGCTTACTATCAAGATTTGAAATTATTAAGGAAAAAATTGTGACTTCTGACTCATTATTCAACACGCAAGAAGTGAAATGACAGTTCATGATATTGAACAATATTGCTTTTGAATCTGCGCTTTCATTCAAACACGAACTCGCAAGAGTTCATTAAGAAATGCGGTGAATCGTCTTTGAAGTCTTTGAGTTTTTTAAATATTTGTTTACGGTTTATTTAGCTTTGTATCATTTGTACAAATTGAGAAAAACGAAGTACAAATTGACTGAATGAGAAACAAGAGAAATAAGAGTTCGAATTTGACGCGCGCGAACAGTCAACCCGCTTTGAATTTGTCTTAACAAGAAAGCCAACCTACAACAACATGGAAGTTCGTCGCTTCGTTTTTTGCACATTTTTCTTCTTTTTTTTATAAATAACTGATAATAATTGGTACACTAAGTATAATTAGGAAAAATAAAATAGCTATTCAACTGTGTCTTTTAATCATAACGATGTTGCCAATATGGTTTGTTGAGAAGAAAATATAAATACGAAATAAATATTTACAACTGTTTCATATTTGGCCAAATCATCTGTCTGCAATCTAAATGATGTATTATCTGAGTCGCAGACGTCGTACTGAGTTTGTTGAATGAGACCCACAAGACGTCTTCAAATGAGAATAAATAATGTATTAGTTTTTCAAACATGTTGTTCTCATGGCCGTAAGAGGCCATCAAGACCTTCAGGCCGGCCATACAATAGACTAGCTTTCATAAACTATCCTGGTCAAAATAATTTTTATACCTTTAGCTTTAGAACATTCATTTTTGAAATTATTTAGTTGACATTTTTACCTTGAAGACAAAGGATATAAAATACACAAATCGGTTGGATTTTCCCAGTTTTTAAAATTTCATATATATTATACATATATACTTTCAGTTTCTACAGTCCATAAATTAAGTTAAAGTTGTTCCCCTCATCAAAAAAAGTAGTTAGATCTGTTAACGTTTTCATTATGTATCTTGAACGACTATTTATCTCCTCTCGACAGAGATAAATCAATCAATAGTCAAGAGGGCTATCAGCAAAACTTAATAGCAAATGTCGTCTCCAAGAAAACATAGATTGTTATCGTTATTTTTTTAATATCAACCTTGAGGCAAAAACTTATGTTATTAAAATATAATCATTATTTTTTTACGTACCATTTTTGTTTTTGCAGAAACTCCCTTATATGTTGCCGCTTGGGGCAATGTTGGGAATGAGTGGTCAATACATTTGTTATTTTATTGATGATGCTGTTCAGCTCGAAATAAAACCGAAATGGCTGTCTATAGTTCTGAATATTGCAAGAGTTGTCAGCTTGTTTCATATTCTGTATGGTTATATGTTGTTTCTGGTCCTTTTGCTGTTTATAATGTACATAACTGGTGCCTCTATGAAGGAATTCCGAGGTAAAAAGAAAAGTGGATATTTTCTTTGGCGTTAACAAAGCCATGAACRTGTTATCCTAGCAATACACTTGCTCATAAGACGATTCAACAGCTAACCTAACTAATAATGGCAACGGACCAAACTAATTAACCAACATATTAGTTAACCCATCAACAAACCAAACGATCAAGCAACACAAAAAACAAATAATCAGCACATCAACCAACCATCCAACCGACCACAATCAACAAACCAACCACAACCAACCAACCAATCAA